ACGCCTTTTCGAACTCAGGCCCTGACACAGACGCCGATGCCTGTTTTTCTGCCCATTACGAACTCCCATGTGACATAAACATACTTCCCCCTTTTTTTTTTTAACTATTAAAGGAGTTCAGGAAAATTTAGGAAAAACATGGATAACTGCTGACCAATTGCTAGGCTACTCAAGCAGCAATTACTAAGTGAAAAAGGAGTGTCACAGAAGTCCTTCAAAAGCTCAGAACCCCTGGGGCAGGCAGAGGCATACTTTGGGCGGGAACTGGATGTCTCTGGGTTATAGGGTGTGAGAATGGGACTGTTCCAAGTTGGGGCTGACGGGGAAGGTCTTCTTCTTTTTTCGACACTCTTTGTCGTCGGAGGCAGCGAAGCGACAGGGTGGGAAGGAGGAGGAGGAGAGGGATTTTCTAATAACTAACTTTTTCAGTACAGTAACGGAGCATGTGCCAGCGAGACAGACGACTGTCTTTAAAGAACCAAGAGATGCGCACCACATCCCTAATTAGGCTACGTCCACCTCACCTGGCTTCAACACTCCCTAGGCGACATTTGGTTTCTTCTATTATGATAACAGGTTTTCACAGATAGCTGAATCCTGACTGGTGTCCGCTAGAGTGGTAGTGTTCTGAGCTTTTGGTTTGGCGATGCCAGAACGACGCTGGCCGATGCTGGGGTGTTTGCCCTGTGACCTGTTTTGTAGCGGGAGCGTGAGGCCTGGTAGAGAGATCTGGGGATTTGTCGAGGGAGGAAGGCAATCCACTAGCGAACTAGGAGGTACTGCCAAGACGACCTTTGAGGTCGGGTATAGTTTTGGTAGTGAGAACACGACAGTGATGGCGGGTATTGGGCAGATTGAGTTTGTCTTTGGAGTGTTGAGTCTGGTTTAGGGGAAGCTAGGAGTTGCTCATAGATTGTGAGGTTGGGGGTTGTGGATAATACATCATCTTTATCATCATCAACAGGTTTACCTTTGTGGGATAAGAGGGGGGAATGTGGGACTGTCCCAAGTTGGGGCTGAGATATGATGTCTGCAATCTGGGTAATCCGTTTTGGTGGAGGCAGCGTTGGGATAGGGTGTGAAGGAGGGGAAAGGGGAGATTAATCCACAGAGCAGGTGCTTCAAAATTCCATAGTTTTCAATCATGTTATATCAAGCTTTCTGGTGTTCTGTAACTCTTGGCGGCATCTGGCCTTCTTCCTCATTCGGGATATAGGATTTCAGAGATGATCGAATCTGGACTGATATCTGCAGAGTTGCTTTGTTCGGGCTCCTGGTTTGCCGATGCCAGAAGGATGCTGGCCGGAGCTGGGGCGTTGCCTTGTAACCTGCAAATGGCAGGAGTGTGAGGCTTTGTAGAGAGATCTGGGGATTTGTTGAGGGAGGAAGGCAATCCAGTGGCGAATCGGGGGGGCCTGCCTTGACAACCTATGGGTCCAGGGAGAGTCTTGGTGGCGAGAACATGTCAGCTATGGTTGACGTTGGTTAGGATGGCATTGTCTCTGAGATGTAATGTCTTGGTACAGGGAGGGCTAGGAGTTGTTCCAGGATTAGGAGACCAGAACTGCTGATATAGCATAGTCTTTTATATTTTTTCTATACTAATCATCATCATCTTTAGCATCATCATTATTAGTATGATTATTTCACAGTTTACACAAAAATTCATCATCATCATCATCATCATCATCATCAACATATGAGGGACGCTGAGCCCAGTTCTCAACATGTTCTCTTCGATCACTCCAGGTAGACTGTGAGGACCCTGGCCTCAATCTTCTTATTGGTAATATCAGCCTTGGGCATTGGGCTCGTTTTCAGAAGAAAAAAAAAAAAGGGAAGATCATTCTACCGTCTTCAACCAAATACATTGTGTAGGCAGGTGGGAGCTGCGCTAGCGCTACCGTTCCCCCGCACACAACGCACCCTCATTTTGGCTTTATCTAGCCACAAATATATCTTGTATACATTTATTTTTAGGGTGCGTTATGTTCAGGGGAAGATGGTAGCGCCCTGATGCCAGCGGACCGGTAAGACCCGGTCCGCCCGGCTAGCCACGTGGCACTTTGATTGGCCACGTGACATATGTTGTTGGTGATGTGAATGACCGTGACGAGCGGGCAGGGGTAGCGCCAACCGTGAGAATGATGAGGAAACGTATTGGGGCACAAGTATCGGGGTTTGCGACGGAGATGGTGGGGGAGATACAACATGGAGATATGGCCTTTGACACTGATGACGACGTCTGGCATGGAGAGGATGGTGGACAAGATGAGGTGAATGTGGTCAATTATTTTGCAAATCTTTGCGCGGTCTATGTGGATGGGGTAATCGGTGATGATGAGCAGGATGAAGAAGACGCCGTCGGCTGCGAAACTGGCGATCAGGATGATGAAGACGTCGTCGGCTACTTTGCAACCATGAATTCAGTATGTGAGGAGTGTAAATTTAAGAGTGATTATCAGGGCGGCGAGTGGGAATGTGCTCTTGGTGATGCAGGCGGGTGGGACGTGGAGTGGGGGCAGATGGCAACGAAGACAACACTGGCGACGTCAACAGCACACACAAAAGTGATTGCAGTAACGACACCGACAACAACAATAACAACTACAACAACAGTTCTGGGGGCTGACGATGACCTTCAGCCTCAGCAGGGCACTGTAGAGAGGGAATATGCTTCCCTTCATGACGCGAGCGAGCGGGTGGGGGAGGTAGGGTTGATAACTTCGACTGAGATGGTGGAGATGGGAGAGAACGATGTCAGTAACACCATCAATAACAACAACAACAACGACAACAACAACAACAACAACAACAACAACAACAACAACCACAACAACAACAAAGACGACAATAACAACGAGATGGTTGAGATGAGAGAGAAACGATGACAACGACCCTCTGCCTCAGCAAGGCACTAACGAGAAGGAATATGTTGTCCTTCATGAGGCGGGCGAGGGGGTGGTGGAGGTAGGTCTGATGACTATGGCTGAAATGGAGGAGATGGGAAAGAACGATGTCAGCAACAACAACAACAACAACAACAAAGATGCTGGTAATAATGAGATGGGTGAGATGGGAGAGAACGAGCACAACATCAACAACAAGCATAATAACAACAACGACGGTGAGCAGGGATGGGGGGAAAGGGGAGTGGAGGGTGAGAAAAATGGCATTGACAACAACAACGACGACAATAACAACAACGAAAAGGGAGGGTGGGAAAGGGGCGAGGAGGGTGAGAAGAATCACATTGACAATAACAACGATGGCGAGAACAACAATAACAACAACAACAATAACAACATTAGCAAAAAGAACAACAACAATTATGATAACGACGGCGTCGACAACGGGGAGAGCAGTGGGGTGGAGAGAGGCAC